TCCCCTTGTCTCCCATGGCGTGTCTGGATGCTGGGCTGAGATGATTTGGCTTTGTCTCCCCTTGTCTCCCATGGCGTGTCTCGACGCTGGGGTGACATGATTTTGCTTTAACTCCCTTTTTCTCCCCTGGTCTCCCATGGCATGTCTGGATGCTGGGCAGAGATGATTTTGCTTTGTCTCTGCTTGTCCCCCCTATGTCTGGATGCTGGGCTGAGATGACTTTGCTTTATCTCCCTTCCTCTCCCCTTGTCTCCCGTGGTGTGTCTGGATGCTGGGCTGAGATGACTTTGCTTTGTCTCCCCTTGTCTCCCCTTGTCTCCCATCGCGTGTCTGGATGCTGCGCTGTGATCACTTTGCTTTGTCTCTCCTGGTCTCCCCTTGTCTCCCATGGCATGTCTGGATGCTGGGCGGAGATTTGGCGCCAGGAGTGGATCGGCCAAAAAAGAAAACTCTGACTGCCGCTGCTGTTTAGGGTCGATGCTGTTGTATTTTTTGCCATATTCTTGGACCCATCTAATCTGTACACATTAGGCCCATCTAAAGTGTATATAGAGTCTTGTTGTAGTATGTAGCCGCACGGACACTGGCCACTGGCTGGTTAGGAACTTCGCTTTTCGACAATTATCATTGTCATACTTACCTCTGGTATGCATTGGCAATGGAGCAGCGTACCACCTCTTCACTTGCTGCAGGATCCACATGTGAGTAAGGCCAGGTAGGGATAAGATGTGATAAATATCTTAATTGCATGACACTTATGTCAGGTCGTTATGCAGTCGGTGTGGCGATTTTTCACCAGTCGCAGCAGTGGACCGCTCATGATAAAATGTCCTACCAAGATCACGGCGGTTCCAAATGTGAGGAAATGCAGGGTATAGCCGAAGCGGTTCTCCTTCTGTTCCTCATCATAAGGCCGCGGGTGACATCATGTGACATCGGTGTCACAAAACGTTTGTGTTTATAGCTAGTTGACGCTTGACACCATGAAAGGCCTGAAGATGCTTGATGATTCTTGCAGCCAACTTTTCAATCTATTTCTGTGGTCTCTTGGATTTGGAGGTTGAAAGATTCCGGAGGGTTGGCTTACAGCATGTTCTCTCAAAGCAGGAATAGTCATACCGCATCCGACATGGATGGGAAGACCGCGCACATGTTTGTGCACACTCTTTTCCTTATTGAGGTACACGATGCTCATGCGCTTCTTTCCCAACGTCTATCGCTTTTTCATCCTTTTCGGCAAGTCCTTTCGTGTGAGCCTGTGCGCCAGACGGGGCAACGCACGCAGGCCATTCAGTCTTGTGGTCGCCCATCCTACCACCGGAATCCATCGGACACTTTGTGGTGGGTCAAGGGCAAGACTCGGTAAGACCTCAAGCATCTATTTATTTGTAATAATATACATGTCTTGTTTGTTTCTAGTAGCGATGCCTCCACTTGACTAGGACCCGAAGAATGATCAGCATCTCTGAATCGAGAAACCATCGCCATCGATCGACCGACTACGCTCGGAGATTTTGGAGAGACGATCGATGAAAGTACTCGTTGAACGCAGACGATCGACCTGATCCGGTTGGACTCTGATCCGATCAGACCCTTCTGTTCCAACACCCTTGACGATCGAACCATTGTTTTTCTATACAACGCGTATGATGTACATTTGTGTATACTTCAAGCTTGTGCAGCCCCGGTGTGGAATGAGTCATATGACCAAAACCAAGTGTTTCCTTGGTTTTGGCAATGTTTCTTGTGAGGGTGTCACCCCTTTGCCAGATTTGTTCGGCCTACTCCAGGTATTACCTTTTGATCTTCGTGCCCATTGGTCTCTCCACCATCTTCTTCGCCAACACCTTGTACAGCCCGTGCGGGGCCCAGCGGTGCCGGAACCGTGCGGTTCCACTCCGTGCCGTGCCACCCAAACTGCGGGTCAATTTCGGTTGAAACACCGTCTCTATTGTTCTGACGTTCTTTCTGTTCTGTTGGTATAGACACCGTTTGATTTGTAGGGCAACAGCTAGGAGTGTCCATGGTTTGTCGCTTGTAGATCCCACTATGCCGAACTACCCACCTGGCCAGAAACCCACTGTCGTGCTGTTGAGGTCTTTAGACAACTTTCACCACCACTCATGTTGGCTGCCAGGTACGTGGAGGGCTACAGCACTTGGGTGAAATCCCTCATGAGCTTCGTGGTCAGGGTATCCCAGGGATACATCCTTGGCCCTGCTGGTTGCTTGATTCTTTCAAGAGCAGTGAGTGTTGGGTTGTTGCAAGTGCCAAGAGGCTTGTGAAGATGGACAAGCAAAACATTGCAAAATATTGAACACATATTTATGATGTTTGTGTATAGTCCAGAGCCTAGAGTGTATACAAGTCTAGACGAGTCTATACGATTCTACACGAGTCTATACGAGTCTATATATATATATATGTATATATTACTTTACATACACCTACACAACAACATGTAGGCTTACATCTTCTCGAAGTGCATAAATAGCCTGATTGCCTTGGAACGCCCGTACACTGAGCCTGATTGGCGGGGATGCAACATGTTGTATTGCAAAAACGGGTTTGTCCAACTTTCCAACAACATACAATTTTTTTCGACCCAAAACGACACTTCCAAACGATGGTCATTGGCTCCAACCCACCACATCTTTCAACCATGTACTGGCTTCTTGTTCCTAGTAGTAAGGCCAGGAGCTACTAGTAGCGTCCTTGCTCCTAGTAGCGATGACCTTCGTTACTACTAGCTTCTTGCTCCTAGTAGCGATGCCAGGAGCTACTAGTAGTATGATCTTGGAAGCACTTTCAAATGACTCTTGCAGCCTGCATGAAAATACCACGCATTTTGCTTCGTTGCAACCCTCCGCGTGGAAGCAGTTCCAAGCAAGCGTCATTGATGAGTCATTGTCAAACGAAGGTCATTACCCCAGCCCCGGCCCCTGCCCCCTCTCAAAAGTACTCTGGCCAAAGAAGGTTGTCCCAAAGAGGGTGGAGAGACCATACCAGGCTCACTTCTGGTGCCACTCGTTTGTTGTGGAACCTTGGAGCGATTTGAAACACTGAAGCCCAATGGAGCGAAACCCGAAGAACTGCCGAAACACGCCCAGTCCGCATTGCAAAACGTGGTGGACATCGACTCTTTGTTCGCAGCTAGCCCGGCCTGGAGCTTTGGTCACACACGAACACTTGAGAAACAGTTATTGCCAAGTTATTGCATTGCCTTGTCGTTAGATATCATTGGATGAGATTCGAGATTTGTTAGACACACTATGACACACTCTTTTTGCTCAAAACACCTGTTGGAATAGGTTGATGATTCTTCACAGCCGCAGATTTGGGATCACACAAGCCTGACGATTGGGGTGCTGGGCATCATAACCTAGTCAAGTGGGCTAGAAGTCTGGCCAAGAACAGACCTCATACATCTATACAGATCCATACGGCAGAAACACATTTTCATCTGGACAAGCACCGGCTTTTCAACCGCTCCTCTCGCATAGACACCGAATTGGATGCCGTCCCCCAGCGATCGCGCAGGCATGGACCTTTGCGTACACCATCTACTGCTACTTAGTGGTGCTGGCTGGTTGGAACGCTTCGACGCAAGATGTCTCGCGTGTTTCACAGAACACATGCGCGCATGATGTCTATTTAGTTGTTTCTAGATGTTCCAAGGAAGATCAAGGATCTGATTCCTGAGTTTTGTCAGAGTAGGTGGGGAGTGCCATTCAAGATTCAACAGCCTCTCTGGATGAAAGGGCAACAGCCTCTCTGGATGAAAGGGCAGACAATTTAATTGGATTCTAGGTAGATTGAGCTGCCTGTAAAAGTTTGATGGCCAAGCTTCATAGCTATCATTGGCTCTGGTCTTCGCCATCCAAAGCGTGGTCTTTGGTGTGGTCTTAGTCGTTTCTCGCTTCCTCCACAATTGTTCGAGTCAAACCAGAAAACACGCGTGGTCACTCAGGAAAGCGGTCATTTTGCTCTTGCTTCCCAGAAACTGGTCATGTTCAGCTTTTCTTTCTTAGGGCAACCGATGTTGGTGATTCTTGGATTGCAGATCCTCTTCTGCTTCTTTGTAAATGGCTTTCTCGCCATCACTGCCTACGCGTGCGGCACTGAAATGGAACTGAGTCATCTTGTGTGCTTGAAAAAATATCCATCCTCTTGCAAGGGGCCAAGTTAGGTTACGTATCTCTTGCTGATTCACACGAGTTGCCCAGTTGTCAATTGTCAGCGACTTGCAAACATGATCAGCTCAGACAAGAAGCTCCAGGGATACAGACACCCCATATTGTTTCACCCTCTCCAATGCCATATAAAATCGTGGCAGTGTCAGGGGAGGCACTTAATTTAGATGAAGATGAGATTGGCCGCATGGTAGAAGAAGGCAAGTCTGTCAGGGACCTCAAACAGTTCCTAGGAGCTCAGCTTGGCTATACAAGATTTCGCCTTAGGCTCTTGAGAGAAGAGATTGGCGAGTTACAAGATGATACGCCTTTGTCCGATTCCCTTGGACAGCCAGGTCTCCAGCTGGTGATCTTGGACTTTTGTTCTCCTGATGGATCTCTCCTTCGCGCATGCGCGTCAGATAGCCCGGGTGAAGTTGAAAAGCTGCTTCAAAAGCCGCAAGATCCCAATGAGAGAGGCACACAGGGCAAGACCCCAATGATGGTCGCAGCTCATGATGGTTACCTTGAAAATATCCGACTCTTGCTGGAAGCAAGGGCTGATCCAGAAATTGGACACGATCAAGGTACAACAGCTTTGACAATAGCAGCTCAGGGTGGCTTCGCAGAGGTGGTTCAGATGCTTATTGAGGCTGGCGCTGGAATGGGAGGCGATGTGACAGCTTTGCATGTGGCAGCTATCAATGGCCACCCGCAGGTGGTTGAGATGTTGCTGGCCTTTGGAGCTGACATTGATGCAGCAACTTCCGGTGGAGTCACAGCTTTGCATGTTGCAGCTCAAAGCGGTCATCCGGATGTTACGCGACTCTTGATTGAGGCCGGTGCGAACAAGACTGCATCGACCAATGATGGTGCAACTGCTCTGCAATTGGGAGGACAGTATGGCCACCTCGAATTGGTGCGCTTGCTGCTGGACTTTGGGGCGGGTGACAAGGCTGGTGACATCCAAAAGGCTTTCCGCTTGGCCGCTCAGGGCTGCCATACTTCGGTGATGGGATTACTGATCGAGGCCAAAGCTGATGTGCATGAACCAGGAGAAGATGGTGCAACAGCTTTGCATATTGCAGCTTTGAGTGCTGACATGGAGGTGATCCGATGCTTGTTGGATGCTGGTGCCAGCGTGCACACACCAGCCACGGGCAATGGCGCCACCGTCCTGCAATCCGCAGCCCAAAACGGCCACGTAGAGGTGGCGCGATTGTTGCTCGAGGAACGGGCTGATCCGAATCAAGGAACTACCGATGGCACCAGAGCCTTGCATATTGGAGCCGTGCATGGGCATTTGGACTTTCTCCGGGTCTTGCTCGAGGGCAAAGCCGATGTGGACGGAGCGACCTATGACGAGATGACGCCCTTGCATGTTGCGGCCATGGCTGGCTTTATGGAAGTGGCAGAACTGTTTCTCGAGGCTGGAGCGGACAGGTACAAAGTATCGCAAGATGGTGCCACAGCTTCAAAGTTTGCCGCTCGGCATGGCCACAACCTCCTGGCACGAGTGCTGGCGCCCAGGTAAAAGGGCAACATATAATTACTGCACTGCAGCTTCATCAGGGGAGCAAATTGGATCCGTCAGATGTCTCAGGGAACCCGTCTAGGTGTCTTCAGGGCCCAAAACCCGCGTCAGATGATCTCTGAATTTGTATCATCCTCTGACTTGGCCTTGGCCACTCTGGGCAAACCACACATTCCTGCACGGACCGGAGAGGAACCACGGTGCTGAGGTACTTTGAAGTGGAGCTCACCGAGCACTCGGACCCCAAGTATGAGCGCTGGCTGGGGGGCTCAAGTGGAATTGTTGCTTCACAAATACCATGTTCTTTTTGAAGAAGTGCAGTCCGCGTTCTGTGAGGAAGTTCAGACCTCAGTGACCTTACAGATGGTTCTTGCTATCCACGTTGACCTTCTTCCAACTTCTTTGCCTTGATCTGCGTGTCCTCAAGTTGTTTGTTCTATCACGTACAGAGCTAGGGTACTGAAAGGTTGGGCCAAGGGATCCAAGTCAAGAAGAAAACTGTGCTTGGCACAAGCAACACACTTTTTTCCTCACCCTGCAGCAGAAACAGAAAAAGAGGACCCCATTTTCTGGAGGTGAAGTTCAATGAATGCTTTCATGCTGGCCACCAAATTTTGGAGAACACTGTCTAGGTATAGCCTAGCGATGGTATATACTAAATCTGGGTGATCTGAACTTGCTGATTGTATTGACGATGGTGCAATGCCATATAAAAGTATCAACATGTATCAAATCAGATGGTTTTCCGTTCATGCTGATCATATTTGAATTGTGTTGTGAAGTCGTGGACCGCCATGACACGGTTGCTCTTGCGGACGGCGCTGACGGGCCACTCTGTGGCGGAGGTCGAGGTGGGGGGCCACTGGGAAAGGTCGCGGTGTATGTTCCCTCTCACAGCTTCATACGGGATTCCAAGAAGAACGAGTTTATGTTTTGTGCCGTGTGACTGCAAGGACGTATCATTTGCTTGACCTGATGTCAATGATGATGCTTTCTTTGTTGGAAGCAGCTGGCTTAATGGGAAGCCCAGTGACAAGTGCCAAGGGGCGTCAGCCTGTTTTTTTTGGGGAGGTGGGTGGGTGGAAAGGTCCATTCAAGTGAAACATCCTCCCTGCTGGGGGAGGTGGAACTGGACGACACAGTTGCTAGTTTGCGATCATTGGTGCAAGCGCAAGCAAGTCGTCGGGGACTTAATGGATGGCTGGACCTAGGAAGATGTAAAGAGGGCCCTTTGTGCCCTTGTTCTGCATGGCCTTGCAGGGCGTTTGGAATAGTTTTTGCATTCTTTTGGATGCCGGACTTGGAAGATGTTTCCTTTTCGTTGCTTTTGCTTTCCTGATCTGGACCTCTGAGGATCCTTGGTTCGCTTCAATTTGCTGGTGGGTGGCAAGGCACGTGTTTGCCGAACGAGAAGATGTGAATTTGGTGGACCCAGATTTGGGGTTACGAGGATCTTTTTGTTCTTTTTTGGACCTTGCTATTCCTGCCCTGGTCGAAAGATTGCGAACATCCAAGGCCGTTTTGTCAGCTGATTCTCCTAGATGTCTTCACAAGCTGGTCTCCAGGTATTGAAGGATCACGAGCTCTTGCGTCACTGTCTAGACAGCCAAGGCGAGTCAAGACAGCCAGGGTCGGTGTCGGTTGAGCTTGAAGGAGTGTTTGTTTATGGCTTGGGAGCTTAAGCCCGTTGTTTGTTGTGCGTTTTGACAGCATAGCTTCGGAGTGGCCATTGGGTTTGCACGTGCATGCGATGACAGGTTTAGCAGCTGAACAGAGCTGAGTCAAAGGAAGGACACCACATGAAAGCAACGATAGGTTCCCTATGCACGAACGATGACGCTTCCTCCAAGACAAAAGACACTCCAAAGGTTCATGTTCTTTTCATCGACCCAGGTGGGGGCGTGTGTGATTTTTCGTTTGGCAGATCAGATCAGCAGGAGATTTTTGTCTTGGACCATCAAGACTGTGAAAAACACCTGGAGGTGGAGCTTTTGACATACAGGTCCACTTGTACAGGTGCTTGTCGGGTCACCTGGATGTACCTGAGCCAATTTCGCCCTCTACCTGTCTATGCTTCATTCAGAGGGAGGCTGGACTCTTGTGGACAAGCCACAGGGGGCAGCTGAGACTGTTGAGAGATGTTGAGAGACTCCAGCCTTGTCGACTGTTGAGAGCACAGTTTTTGCACCGCCAGGCGTTGTTGAGGTTGTTTACCTTTCAAAGTGCATGGCGACAGCCATTGGCAATTCCGTAAGGACAGGTGAAGATGGTTGAGGTTCCAATCATGGAATAACAGTCAAGCCGAAAGAAAGGTATTTCCGTCAGCACGAGCCCTCTGTCTCTCTCTTGTATGTCGATGTCCATTGATTTCCAGTCTCCGTGTGGTCGAAGCTTGGTCGATGGTTTCACCAAGCTTGTGGAACCGGTGCGCGACCAGCAAAAATGATACAGTAGATGTTTACAACTGATGTTGAATCTACCTACCTCACCAAGTCTTATATAAGTGGTTGTCGTGTCTCAAAGTCTCAGAAAAGAAACGGCGATGATCATGACCACATCAGACGTTCACGTTTCTCCCCCGACCGCGGACACCGCAGACATCGACCGAAGCACCGATGTCTCCGTACAGCGCCGCGACCGAACTCGGCGAGGATTTGGGACCTCACTTCTGGCGACTGCAGGGAGTTCTCGGCCCAGGGCCAAGTGAGACTTTTGGTGTTGGAGTTCGGAATTCGGAGGGTTGGAAGATGTGAATACGTAAAGGTTGGCCGCTCGTATGACGAAGACGATAATATGATCAAAAGAAAGAACCCTATCACCTTCTGGTTTCAGCACCTCACAGTTTGATCCCCAAGAGGAGGATGGGAGGAAATCGACCTTCGCAAAGTGAACCCCAAGGAGTTCTGAGAATCGCCATGTCACGGTGATCAGAATCACCATGACACGTCGGTCACCTGGAGGCCGGCTTCTGTTCAGACCCAGAACAGTGGAGAGACCGCACCTTCAACAAACAGTGCGAACGTTAAACATCCATTTGTCGTAGTTTTCTGTGATCCCCAGGGTCAGGGCAGTCAGGGCTTCGGCTGGAATTGAACATACAAGCCATCCAGATCATCCAGGGAGGTCTTTCAGATAAGTGGCAGCATGGGAGAGTCATTCACACGTGGTGGAAGGATCTGGGACTCAGGAGGACTTTGGAGCTTCAGCATCCAGTCAGATGCACAGCTCTGCATGGTTCGCTTGGAATCAGTGGGCACCCCATGACACCCCAGCTCTGAGCTCTGGCAGCTCAGCTGGCACGGCATTGGCCCTTTGTAGAGAAGAAACAGCACAACTCGATCCCAGGAAAAGTTGCAGTACTTCCTGACCAGAAGCACGTGGGAGTCCCAGGCGACTCGTTGCGTGACGCACCTCTGTGACACACCAGACACGCTCATGGGAGTGAAGTTTAAGAGGGTGACACCAGTGGTGACGCCCCAGCACGGTTTTAGGCCCTATTGTCCTTCCAGTGGGGGTCGAACTGGGAGGCCTTCCTAATACACACCCACATCCACCGAGGTTTAGGTGGTTTCAACCACGCAACACCTGAGACAGGTGAATTGGTTTGATCAAACCCCTCTAAAAACCTCAGAGGATCTCCAGAATCGGCACGACTCAGACGACGCGCGCGCGCGCGACGCTTGCGGGACGTGCGTGTCCGGGGATCCGAGGTCTTCACAGGATCCGACGATGGGACTGCCCGACTTTGGCGCTTGGAAGGAGGCTCCGTGAAGGAGATCCCGATGGCTATGGAGTGCGGGCGGTTCGAAGCAGGGTCCAGACTAGACTGACTAGATGGGTAACGCTGGCTCGTCTTGGGCGACGTTTCGTTCAAGATATCCCCACAAGTAGATCCACGAGCAATTGATAGGCAGTCAATGAGACCTTCATCCAAGTATAATATATATCTCCAAAGTACATAAGGCAGACCTATCCCATGACGGGGCCCTTGTGAGGTACATCTCCAAGAACAACAACTTCGATTCTTTCCATTCCATCTTTGCTCACTGCACAAGAATGACCTGGTGACCTTTGATATTCATTGATGCCCTGGAAACATGATGGAAAATGCATCAAAGAAGGAACATTCTCCATTGCAGTGCCGTATTTGTCCTTCACCGATTTTCTTCACCTGCGGGGCAGGTCTTTCGTTCGCCACATGTGACAAGGGATGTCTTGGTCAGGTGAATGCCTTCAGAGGTTGGAGCATGCAGCACCCGTAAGTGTGCCAGAGCTGCGGGAAGTCAGTGCTGGGCCAGGTTCTGTTTTGGGTATTGCTTTGGTCACAGACCGGATAATATATACTACACTTGCCAGTTGAAGGAAGCAATCATACACCTGCGACATGCAGCCAAAGAGTCACACGCTCCGGCTGCCATGTGCTCTTTCACCACTCTGCATCATCCATCACTCAATCTGTGCTGCAAACTGAGGATCTCTCCTGCTCTCCCACTGGTGGATTGCTGCTGACCCTCTCGAATGGCCGGCTGTCGGTCCCATGGCAGTTCTTTTTTTTGTGGCCCAAGGTGACAGACAGCTGATGACCAACATAATACTGTATTTATTTACAACATGTTGCAACATGTTATTTATATAAATAAATACATCCTGGAGATTCCATCTCCATGGAATATTTAGTAATTCTAGCTTTCTGGTCGTTTTGGTGGTTTTAGTCGTTCCAAGTCATTTCTAGTCGAGATGAATGGATGTGTGGTGGATGTGATGTGGTGTGGGCGATAGCGGCATCAAGCAGCTTTTCAACCTCTTCGGCCAGACCGCTTCTTGGTCGCAAACTTGTCCAACAAAGTTTTGTACATGCCTAGTGATCTCCTGATCGTTGAAATGGTGGCCGTAGCCCCATGGCATCTACGACTGATTCTGCTGATCCGCCCTATAAAGTCCTCATCGGACCAGCAGGCCATGCAAAGGGGAGACAAAGAAACTCCATCCAGCCGGCTCAGCTCCCAAAACATATGAAGTTTTGGCCGAAGCCGATACAATCGAAAACCTTCATGATGGGTGCGAGCGGCCAATTGGCTATAACAGTCCTGACCAGAAGGGTGTTTCCGAGAACCCTGTAGTGGAATATCCTCCCACCCTCTATCTATACCCATGACAAACCACCCACCATGTGGTTCATATGCAAACGCTATCAGAAAGGGGTGCACAAAACTCCTCAGCTGCCTTGCTAGCAGCAGTCGCATCTTCTGGACATAGGAATGTCACATTGTTGTAAAAGGATGTCAAAAAACCTGTTGCACCTCTGAACAGCGAAGCGGGCGACCTGAAGCATTGGATTGTCGCCACAGACCGCCTTATTGTGACAGCACTCAGCCAAGGTTTGGATCATGGTGGGTCTGGGACGCGAATGGCAGCTTGTCTGAAAAGTAGCCAAGGGACATCGGAAAGAAAGTGCTCCAACCAGCGGCAAACAACACCAGTGTCGTGACCCTTGCCAACTATACTTGTAGGAAAAGAACGTGCCCTTGGTGATGCTGAGCGTTCTCGAAAAGACGCTAATGATGGTCATGTTCCCAAAATTTGAGACTCAATCCTACCAACCCCAAAAGGAATATTTGGCAGGGGACCTCGCTCACAAAGTAGTTGGACCAAAATCACCTACCCAAACCAAAGTACGTGAGCCCACACCGGGTTTATTTAGAAACAGAAAAATTGTTGAAGCCTCAACAAGATTCCCACCAAACTTCATATTGTTTGAGTCCAAAAATCGCACGAGGTGATTCTTTTGGTTGTCTTACACCATTGATTGAACTCTGAGTATGCCAGTTGAAGCTGGTCATTCACCCTTGTACTGTGGCAAGGAAACTTGCCGAGCTTGCGCAACAGAACCACAGTGGATGCACAGAAGTCACACCCGACGCCAATATGGAAGGTATGAACAACGTCAGGATACACTCGCATCCACGAATCTCCTCCAGGCACTTTGACAAAGGGTGGTAGCTGTGCCTTGAACGGCGACGGCCCAGTCCTTGGGAGCATTCAGATGTGATGGGTCAGGAAAACATGTTGGTCCTTCGCCATGCACCAATGGCATATTCTTTTTGCTGTGAAGCCTGATGCCAGGTTGAAAGCCTCGATTCCAATCACTGCAGGTGGCGTTGCTTTTTTTTGTTTAGTAACATGCGCTTGCCTATGTTGTGCCCAGTGGCCTTCCTCAAATAGGGCCAACCACCCTTGCAACCAATATAGATAAACCTGAAGCGAATCCCGTGGACCTGGGCAGGGAACCATCCACCTAACCACCAACACACTCCCCAATACACATGTTTGAAAAGAACCTTGAACATCATGTGTGGTTGAACCCCTCAATACCTCTATCCCAGATTGGTAGAGGTCTTCAGATCACGCAAAGTTTTCTCTCCGTCAAAAAGGCGGCTTGTGATGCAGGAGTGAAGCATCCGTGAGCAGAATGAGTGCCTTGCCATCCAATTCCAAGAGACAGGAGGGGTCATGGATGACCAAAGCTGCCCATATAATATATATTTTTAAAAAATATTATATAATATAAATATATATATATATTGGTATATATCGTAGAAAAGTTTCTCTTGCCTAGACCAAGGACCCGCTGTTGTTTGTAAAACGTTCTCCTTTGTGCGAGAGTACTGTTTGCCAAGATTGGACCATAAAGGCTTGGCGTCGCAACCCTCGCCCCTCATCCCAATGAAGCATGTAAGGGATGCAAGTCTTAAGGGTTTGAGGGTTGCCCCCTTCGTCGAAAATGGGATGCGAAGGATCAGCTTGTTGGTACCGTGACCAAAACCTCACTAGTAGCGAGCCCCAATCTTCTTGGTCTTCAAAGGCATGGCCGCCCAGCAAATACTCAGGGTATTGGTCCATCAAAGTAGAGATCCATGAAGTCATGGGGAGCACTGGCCACCAAACCTCCTCCACTCTGACCCTCGGTTTTCGGAGCTTGATCGTTGTTCCGACTAAGTCGGTGTCAATCGCCAATGATGCTCCCATCTTGCGGATGCAGCGGTTCAGGTTCCTGGTCGCGTTCGTTTTGCTGCGCGTCGCTGACGCAATCTTGCACAATAGATCTCCAGCCCCTTGGCGTGGGAGGTCATGGGAACAGGGAGGCTGGCCGAAGAAGACTGTTCAACAAAAATCTAAGAACACACCACTTCCACAAACAGGTGTGTAATGCATACAAGAAGCTGTGAGACCTACCAGAAACGGCTATGGCTGCACTCCTCGAGGTTCTTTTTGCAGTATCTGCCTCAAGGCAGCCAGCTTGTATCTGACTTTAAACCCTTAAGGTCACACATAATATTAAGTCTTGATGTGCACATGGTTGCAAACCGCAACAAAGTAACTCCAGCAAAGTAGTTCTCTAAGAGTTCCATCGCATTGGTTTGGTCTCTATAGAAGTTCTCCTCTTCGGTCCTGTACTGTCCTGCACACACCGCCCATTCATGAAAAGCGACTACATAGACGTGTCTCTGGCCAAGTAAAACCCTGCACCCATCCTCCCAGCAAAGGGCCCAAAGTGAACCTCGCATCTTGGCCTGGCCAACGCAGCAAATGAGAAAAACAATTGTCAGAAGCATGCAAGGCTGCATGCTTGAAACTATGCAGTGAGATGCAGTGAGAAAAGTTTCAGACCGTTCGTAGCACATATTCTTCCCGCCCCATGTGTCTGCTCCACTGCAGACGCTCTTCTCAGCTGGCAAGCTGCAGCTGATCTACAGGCTGCGTGAAAAGCAAAGGTGACCAGCAAAAAGAAGAAAAACCCTGTGGTCGATATGGGTTTTACCCAGCCCGATCCTAGTTCTTCTTGGCCTTCTTTGAGGTCTTCGTGCTCCCCTTTGGAGAAGGCCTCTTAGGCTTAGTCGTACTCAAGTCTGGCTTAGCCGCACCCTTCGGAGCAGCAACAGACTTTGCGGTAGCTTTGGCCTTCCCCTTCGCCCCCGGCTTCAGTGCCCTGCCAGAACGGAGGCTGAGTGACCCATACAATATGCATTCACAACCGCACCTTGCTCGACTCATCAGATTGTTCATGCTGACATCCTGTCGGGTGCATTGCACCAGAATGGTGCGGAGCTGCTCCTTTTGGGCCTCCTAAGTTCAATGAATGGAAGCCCAGGAATGCCCAGGATGCAGCGAGTTCAACCCTCAATCCAAAGCCGAGAAGCAGAAGGGGCATCAAGATCGCAGGACTTCTGCTGGAAATCGACAAGCTCGTTGTACTTCCCTTGGTACTCCTTCCGCTTTGTCTGCAGCTGACTGGTCATCCTGAGGCCGAGCTAGCAAACTCCTTCGCCCAAAGATAGATCGAACGCCGACTGTGTGCCAAAGATATAGACAAACATCAGCGCACATGGATTCACTTGTTGTGGCTTTAAGCATGCGCGACAAGATAAATCAATTAAGGGGCTCTTTGCTCCGGTCTGTTGCATATTTGCAAATCTTCTCCTGCAAGATCAGCGCGACGGATCCGCCATACAAGAAAACCCGTGGCATGTCAAGTCACTGCAGTCCTCAAACTCCATGATTTTATCGATCTTCTTCCCCATCTGGTCCACAAAGACGGACATCTGACCTAATATGAGATCACATCAGCACTTCTATCTCAAGGCTGGATCATGTCATGGCCTGTGGGACTTTCATAGCGATAGTTCTTGATAATAATGATGACGAGGGGCTGAAAGGGTCCTGGCCCTGTTGAAGCATTGGCAGAGCTTGTAGTTTTGCGCTTGCCGCAGACTGAGCCAAGATACTTGATGCTGCACTGGCCGCAGTAGCACCCCGCCTGGAAAAGAATGCGCGCAATAAGTTTCTCCACAGCATGGTGAAATGACACTCTTTGGAGCCCAAGCCAAACATACACATGCCAAGACGCTGAACGAGTCCATCGCCGGTCAACTCATCGCCGTAAATGCTCTCGACAAGACGCCATGAGGATCTTGCAGCTGGGCGCTTGAGCTCGTCTGTTCCTCATGCCTGGTCGTGTCCCTGAAGGAAAAGGTGCTAGCAATAGGGATGCGCCACTCGTCGGCGCCATGGATTTCACTACGACGCAACAAGCCCCTCGAAGCTGCCCACTCTTTGCTGTGTCTGATCATGTCCCTTAGAAACCGGCCAAGAGTCTAAAAGGAGCACAATAAAGATGTATACACATACAACAGCAACATATAGTCATCATGCACATGTTGAGGGGAGCACTCCGTCCAATTGAGCGCCCCAAGACTAATGGTGGTGTGCCATCCACCATCCAACCGTTCTTCCGATTCTCTGGCCCAAAGTTCAAGCAGCCGCTTCTCAACAGCCTCGAAGCTTCCCTCCTTCGTGAACATCTCGATCAATTTTGGTCCTAGATGCCAAAACGCCTATAGATGCCTTCTAACTGAACCACAATTGGCCAGCTGCTGAGAAAGGTAGGAACTCACCAAAAAGCAAACAAACATGCGCTTAGGCTCGTTGCTTCATATCCTTGAACATTTTCACAACGTCTGGGGAGGCCAAAATT